TACAATTGTAGCTCTGTAACTGTTTCGGTTCTTACACATCTTTGGCTTTAAAATATTCGGCTTTGAGCGTTCCTGATGAAGGTAAATCAAGAAAAGCGCTCCAAACTCATGAAATTAATAATGTGTTGTTTTCATATTTTATATTATATATTTTTTTCATTTTCTGTCATCCATAATAGTTCATATGATAAAGGTTTACAATAATCATGATAATACATATAATTCCAGAAATGGATGTTTCTATGACAAATACAATTCTCAAAGTGACTTAAAACTATCAGACTTAACTCTATATCTAAATTAACTGACCCTAAATTAGCCTATTACTTATATTCTAAATTTATCTTATGCATCAAACCTCTGACCTTTAAATTACCAAATAGAAATGCTGAATTAGACAAAACATATTTATCTAAGAATCTTTAATGTCTCAAGTAGTGGTCAATAATATGTGAAATAAACAATTAATTACAATTAATTACTTTTCTGAACTACTACTACTAAAGACACTAAAATCAACATCTGTTGTTTTCTTATAAAACCAAGCATGCAAATTCTTTTATCTTCAATATGAAATAATCGAAATACTGAAAATTGTTTAAAATGATACTTTTAAAATGTAATGTAAATTTACTCTACTATAGATACGAGCATGCAAGTAAATATAGATATAAATTTTAGATCGCTTTTAAACATATTTTTAAGCAACTGTTTTGAGCATTTTTTCTCTTAAATACATTACCATTATATTCCAAATCAATACAATGAATAAATTTAACTGTAAAAAAACAAATTAGACTAAAAGAGACGCGAAAGGGATATTCAAACTCATCAGTTGAAAACAAACTGACAATACCATGGCAAAAAACAAAAAACTATGAAAAGGCAAACAACAGTATACAAAACACAACATAGAAACATAAGACTTAACAACACGGACCCCACCAAAACCTGGGGGTGATCTTCTCAGGTGCTTCGGAAGGGTAAGCAAATTCTACTCCACGTGTGCAAACCCAGTGATAAGTCTAATTCGGTAGATCACATTAGAGGAAAAGAGGACAGGATAGTGGTAATATCATCAATTGGAACATATCCGTCGTCATTAACCTACTCGTTATGTCGAACGTAAAAGTTCCGAAGGCCGGGATGATTTCAACATTACCACTTGGAACTCTTGGTTCAGTAGCTTCCTTGTAAGCATCCACTATCTATCAAGGAAATGATGATAGGAAATGCAAGCTCTGGAATATCTTATCAACTGGCATGTATATACTCCATATGCAGGTGCTGCTGGAATGTTGCTACATAGAAAAGTTCACAATTGGAGGCTGAAATCATCTCCTTTGTCGTAAAGTTTTGTTCTTAACCGACCAAGTATGTTGCTATTGATGAGTTTTTAATGACAGATATTGGTATCTCTTTCTCAATAACACGTGAACATCCGGGGGGGTTCGCCCCCAATCAGGAGGTCTTCTGTTCTGGACCTCAAACCCCTCGAGGAAGTTCGGGCGTACACTTAAAAAAGGTCTAGCTACGCTACTGCCCTTATTTAAAGAGGGTAGGGATGCCCTTTACTGTCAGGCGTCAAACGGTCATATTCGGCTACCGTTAGCATCAAATTGGTTAAAATTTTATCGTGATTTATCAGTGATCTCAAATAATTTTATTGTTACCATTTTTTTTGGAAAGAATTTAACATGATTCGTCAAAATCAGTAGATTGCTTTATCGTCATAAAGAAAGTGTACATTTTATCATCATGCACCTAAAACTATCGTTAACGTCATTTGGCCAGATTTTTTATCGTTATTTGTCATGAAGGTCCATTACGACCCTCTTTAAACAGATTCACTAAAATATTTTTAAAAGTTATTGTCATGGTTATTTTACTTTTATTTAAATAAAAGGGATCCCATGTATATTTCCCGTAATATACTTGTATTGTTTGAGCTTTTGATTTTTGCCATTTGATATATATTAAGGGAGTTTCCATTTTGAATTTTCCTTGGAGGGCAGTATATTTGTTATTTTACTTTTCAAATTTTGTGGATCACAGTACATCTATGCATAAAAGAACAAATGTTTCTTGTTGAATACATAGTGGCAGTATTTCTTGCATACTCAGGACGAAAACAAAATACGTCAATTCTCCAAGGCTTGTTACCACAAATATAAACTGCCTCTTTTGAAAGAGGATGTGTGAGATAGGGCAGAAATTTTACCTTACAACAGGCCACCAATAATTTCAGACATCTTAAGGAGATATTACATTAGGATTCTTTAACGTGCAGTGTGTGGCTTCGCCTGCATGAGGCATTGGATTTTACGTTTCCATTCCGATAGGACTAGTCTCGTATCTATACATCCAGCACAACATATAAATTCAAAGTGAGGTTTAAATGAAATTTGAGGAAGGTGAAGAGTAGGCCACGTTAAAATGTGACTTTGACGAACTATAGCTTTGGTAACTTTTGACCTAAAATAATCTTCAAATATAGAACTGTTCAAAGGTTAGTGCGTACACAATAGGACGCTCTATGAAATTGTACCACATGGTTCTATTCCTCAAAAGGAAGGTTGGGATTGATTTTGAGGGTAATGGCCCAAACCGTTGAAAAAGAGAGGCGAAAGATACCAGAGGGACATTCAAACTCATAAACTGACAACGCCATGGCTAAAAAAGAAAAAGACCAACAGACAAACAATAGTACACAAAACACAACATAGGAATAAAGGAATTAAGGGGTAAAAAACAAGGATTTTCTGGTATCCAGACAATAACTTAAGTATAAGTCTATGGACCTCTATGAAATTGTACCACTAGGTTCCATTCCAAAACTGAAAAGTTGGGATTAATTTTGGGGATTATGGCCCTGACCGTTTATGAATAAAGGACCAAAAATAATACTTTTCTAGTACTTTGTATAAATTGCTTACTGTCAATTCAGAAATAATTGCGAACTTTTTATTAATGCAAATAATCCAACTGATTGAGTATCACAATAATAACTTGTATTCTTATATCTGATACAAAGATATGTATGCCGATTTTCATGAAATAACAATAATAAATCTCGCATTCTTGTCCATTTTAAAAAAAATTGCAATAATTTCTGAATTTACAGTATTTCTTGACCAATTTGAATGGGTACCCCAGGTTTAATTCCAAGTCTTGAATTCTTGGGGTCTTTATAATGCTGAATCTAACCACGTCTTTAGATTTTGGATTTTGGGCTCAATATCAAATTGGTTCACATTGAGGTCCAAGGGGTCCAAAATTAAACTTTGTTTGATTTCATCAATAATTGAATTCTTTGATATGCTGAATCTGGATATTGGACCATAATAAATAAATGTCCAATTTCAAATTTTTAAGTTCTTAGACCACATTCATTCTATGTCAGAAACCTATGTATGCTGTGTCAAATATTTCATCACAATCAAAATTCTGAGCTGTATCATACTAGTGTCCCAAGTGTTCAGGTCGTATCAAGCTGAGCCCTGTGGAACATATTATTTTAAAACAAGCCTATCCATATCAAACATCATCATCTTCAACAGACACACTGTGTTTCACTGTGCCAACATGCAAAACTTTTATTGCGAACCAAAGGATACTTTTCCACAGATTCACTCGAAAGTTACCTGTCGATTTAAACTTTTGTAAGTTCTTTTGTCCCATCTAATAAAAACAATAGCTATTGTTCTCTGTGTAGTTTATTCACTGGGACCTTTAAATTTCTTCTAAGAGAAATCTATCACTCATTGATTAATTTACCCGAGTTAAAAAGTGATCTTCTAAATGATGAAAATACATGTATTATGGTATACAAATGTCCGGCGTCCACATGTCGCCCCCTCAACTTGAGAACAACTCATCCAAATTTCATGAAACTTAATATAGTTGTTTCTTATGATGGTCAAACCATCTGTATACTTTTTGTTGAAAATAAGATTAAAATTTTTTGAGTTACAGGACTTTGTAACTAAAACTATTGCTTAAAACTTAACACACTTCTTATTTATATTAATCTAAAAATCTGTATACTTTTTGGTGATGATTCAAAGTTTTATTTTAGAGTTAATGAGTTTTTTGTAAAAAAAGGGGGGGGGGGGGGTGTTCACATGTCACGCCGTATCTCAAAAACGATTTATGATTATTGCTTAAAACTTTACACACTTCTTAATTATATAAATCTAAAGATCTGTATACACTTTTTGGTGATGATTCAAAATTTTATTTTAGAGTTATTGATTTTTTTATTAAAAAAAAGGGGAGTTTTCACATGTCGCACCTTATCTCAGAAACGATTTATGATTATTGCATAAAACCTCACACACAAGACGACGGGCGTATCATGCGCTCTTGGCGCAGCTGTTTATTTAGTTATAGAATACATTTAAGAAGGCCTTGATCTAAACATCGTCATTTTCTAGTTTTTATTTGTCAAAAACACACAAAAAGACCCAATTTTAATAGGAACAATGTTGAAAATTTTGTCAGAAATCAACTTTTAAATTTTGAATCAGTGTTAATTATATTGAAAAAATTGAAAATGTATTATTGATATTGAATAAATACAACATCACATGCATTTTTGTGAGTCCTTATTTAGTATTGGTACATGTATTTTCATCATTGAAAGTTTGATTTTTTGTTCAGGTAAATTAATCAATGAGTGATAGATTTCTCTTAGAAGAAATTTAAAGGTCCAAGTGAAATAACTCCACAGAGAACAAAGCTATTATATTTATTAGATGGGACAAAAGAACTTACAAAAGTTTAAATCGACAGGTAACTTTCAAGTGAATCTGTGGAAAGTATCATTTGGTTCACAATAATGACGTCTGTAAACTGATGAAAGTCTAATGGATGCTTTGTAAAACAGTACACTGGTACTTCTCAAATAACAAGTATTATACAATTTTGTTTATTATAAGGCAAAATACATTGTACAATCATATCATGCATATATAAATAATGAAAACATATTTATACTGTAAATTCAAAAAAAATTTGCAAGCATTTATTTAAATTAATTATTGTCATTAAGGACATGTTGCAAATAAATAATGCTATCAAAATTTGAAATATAATTTTATTTTTGCAAAATCTATCTCGGTGTAGCAATTTTCAGTAAAAAAAATATATCAAAAATTTGTGAGTTTACAGTAAATGGAAAATAAATAACAGCATTAAAAAATTAATCATTTGGCTTTCAGAATTATCATTTAAGGATTTTAGTAAACAAAAATGCAACATATATGTGGTTTGCATGATTATTATTGTCCACAGGATTGACCACACAAGGCAGCAGCAGGAACACACCTGTAAAAGGAATAAAATAATATTTCATTTGTTGACAATTCATAGTAATTAAGTAGTGTTAAAATATATGAATTAGGTAATGTTTAAATATTTGAGTGGCATTTTTTATTTTAAATATGTATGTAAAAATACTTGTTTTCTATTCAAATTTATTGATTTACCAAAAAATATTGCATAGAAATCGTGCAGCTAAATTTGTTATAAAATGGAAAGCCATCTTAATATACCAATTTTGATTTTCAAGGTGTTAAAATCACTATTACCGGTATTGCATTAATCATTCATTGAGTTTCAGACAATTGCAGAAGTTATTAAGCTGAAAATTTGAAAAATGTACATACATGGTAAAATTATTCAGGCTATTTTGATAAACTTTCATTGTTTAGTTCCAGTTTTATGACATTTAATTTGTTTTCTCCATATATTGACTGAAGAAATAAATTCTTTGGAAATTTGTATTGAGAGAAACACAAAACTGAATAAGAAGCAAAGTTTAATATAATTAAGACATCTTATCTTTGTGACAGCACTTGCAAATGAATGTGAGGGTATCTCCCCTTTACAAGTAAACACAATTCTCTATTATCATAAAACAATGATTCTCTTTCTTTATGATTCAGTACATGGTCATTTGGCAAAAGTTTAAAGATGGAATAAGTGAAATTAGTAAAAAAGGACTATAAACCTTCTCAACTATAAAAATATCTGTTTACATCTATTAAGGTTACAGTAGAAAATATCAAGACAATATAAATTGCAAACAATAAAGAATTATAGAAATTTAAACTGTCCATAAGATTTCATCAATTGATTAAATTTGTATGTGGATGAATAAATATATTCTCACCTTGAAACAGATCCAAATGCTACCCCAGCCAGTATCCCTATTGACAAGCTGTGATGCTAACCTGTAATACAAAGTTGAATCAGTTATTTAAACTCCTCAAAATAATCTATTGTGGATTCAGATATTTTCATGGGCATTGAGGGAAAATCGAATTTCTGTGGATTCATTTAATATTCAACAGTCATGGGGATTGAGGAAAAATTGGATTCTGTGGATAATTGATTGAAAGTCGATTGATAGATAATTGGTACTTCGTTGTTAAACATTTAAATTTGTGGTTCACTATTACTCACGAAATCTAGTGGGTATTCAGTTTAAAACTTGACAAATAGAAAAAAAAGTCAAAAACAATTTTTCTTTCTAACCTTGGCAGTATTTTTACCATTTTGGACAATCATATACCCTCCTTCCTCTGGAGCTGAATATCTCCATGTAATTCAATCTTTTCTGATACCTGAACCATTATTAAATTGACATCAAACACTTTTAGATTAAAACAAGTTTGTATACCTACCAACATGTTAGCAGTATCAGATCTCCAATTCTTACTCCCAACACCATGAAATCATTGTCATTACATCAGCCTATAAACAAATAATAAAATAAATGGAGAATGTGTCTATGGGCCACAGATGCCCCCTCTTGTAAATATGCACGAGTCCACTTCCACATATAGATGTAGGATTCACATCGTTAAGACCGTTTTGTGATCATAAGCATTGTGTATAAGTTTCATAACATTTGGTTGAGGCAAACTAAAATTAGAGAACGGAAACAACAGATTTAGCAATTTTTCCATTTATAAAGGGCATAACTCAAGAACTGAAGCCACCCAATTTCGAACTTGATCTGTGTTTTGTGGTAATAAGCATTGTGTATAAGTTTTATAATATTTGGTTGAGTCATACTAAAGTTAGAGAATGGAAACGAAAAATTCAGCAATTTTTATGTTTATAAAGGGGCATAACTCATGAACGGTAAAAGTGACACCAACCAATTTCAAACATGATCTGTGTTTTGTGGTTATGAGCATTGTGTATAAGTTTCAAAACATTTGGTTGAGGCAAACTAAAGTTAGAGAACGGTAACAAATTTTTGGGATGGACGGGACAGACAGACGGACAAGGGTAACACTTAATGCCCCCTCCGATACAGCAGAGGCATAAAAATATACTTGTTTGATTTATTCCTTTTACATATCAATCCAAGCATGATAGATTTCTTTAACAAAACAGTATATTAATAACACATACTTGTTTAAGAAAACTATCGGTGCTTCAATTGATCTGTTATATTTTCACAGCAATATGGCATTATAGCTGTGAGAATATAAAATTGTAAACCAATGATCTTATGTTGTGCTGAACACCACTGTCCCAGGTTAGGGCAGGGTTGAGCACTCACAAACATGTTTAACATCGCCACATTCTTTATGCGCCTGCCCCCAGTCAGGAGCCTGTAGTTCAGTGGTTGTATTTGGTTCATGTATGTCATATTTGTTTTTCATAAATTGTTGTTATAAATTAGGCCATTCGTTTCTTCTATTGAATTGTTTCACATTTTTTCATGTCGGGGCCTTTTACAGCGGACTATACGGTATGGGTTTTTCTCATTGTTGAAGCTGTTTGGTAGTGTCTATAATTTATGTCATCCACTTCATTCAGGGCTGCCAAGTCTCACACAATTAGCGTGAGACTCGCGCATTTTCATGCATATTTGGCGGCATTTTCCTTTGATCTATTGTTTTTTCTCTTTGATCTTTACAATTTTGGCCAAATCTCACGCAGTTGCTTCATGAAAACTTGGCAGTACTGCTTCATTTAAACTTTGGTGGATAGTTGTCTCATTGGCAATCATACGACATCTCCTATTTATAAAGGTTTATTGTAACCTATAACGATATATACTGATTACATATTTTTTCAATCCTCAGGTCACATTATTTTTCCTATATTTTTTTAAAAGTATAATTAACATATCATTTAATTCAAAAACAGAATTATAAACCTACTTATATCTAAGCCGTAGTAGGCCACCAAGCCTTACTCCCAATACCATGAAACATGTCCAAGAAATAACCTAAAAGGAACTAGATATCATTGATATGGGAGCCATCTCTGTGGGCCCACTGTGAATAATGTGTGGTAAAAAATTTGTATCTTTATCATTGGACATGGGGTTGTCAACTGAAACCAAAGTTTTTGACCTTGACCTTTGACCTAGGAAGTTGTACATAAATTATGACACACCCTCTGGTGTCGGTTTATATACATGTCAAGTATAAATTTTGAAATCATAACGGTTCTCAAGATATAGAGCGGACACGATCTTTACCATAGGACATGGGGCTGTCAACTAAAACCAAAGTCTTTGACCTTGACCTTTGACCTAGGAAGTTGTACATACATTATGACACACCCTCTGGTGTTGGTTAATATACATGTCAAGTATAAACTTTGAAATCATAACAGTTCTCTAGATATAGAGCTAACACAATTTGTTACCGACATACGGACAGACTGATCACTATTGGGCATCCGCCATTCGGCGGGGCCCTAATTAAAATTGACACAAATCATATATATTTTTCCAATTTAACTAAACTATCATCCTTAAACTTTATAAAAGTTTTTCCATTTCTTACTACCCAATAATATAGCATCAGTCCTGTCTGTGTAGGAATTTAAGAGCTGGAAAAAGGTTTGATTTTCCAACTGCACAAAAATTATCAGAGTAATCTCCCATTGAATGAAACATTATTGTTGTTTGTTGTACTTGTCTCCCCGTAAAGATAAAATGGCCCATGAACACAGTTATTTCGTAGTGCATTTCTTTTGGACAATAAATGAATACTAAAAAAATCCCACCTGTTATTGCTTTCTCAATAATATTTTTATAGTGTGGTGTACTACTTTTGGGACAAATTATATCAAAATTATAGAAAATTTCATCAGCTCTAACTCAATATATGGACAATTTTATGTTAAGGGGCCTTGAATTCTTTTGACAGCTTCCGAAATACTAATTTTTAACCTTTTTTAGCTGGACCAAATCACTATTTTATTTTAAAATTCATGACCCAAATTTTTTTAGTGTAATTTCATCCCCCTACTTGCTATTTGAGGCATAAAACATGAAGAAATAAATTTGGAAAGGGAATTAAAAAAAAATGCAAGTAACACACTGTCCACACTAGACTGTATTTGTAGACAGCGCAAATCAAAGGACGATAACTGTGTTCCTGGACAAAATAATTTGATATATAATTGTTTTCATATACCTCGTAAACTAAAATATATGAAAATGGTAAATGAACTTGCTATTGGTGTTATGAATGAGAAAGATAAAAATAATCATATTGTTTGTTGTCTTGTGTACTTTTATGTACTGATGTTCATTTCTATAGAATCTATAAAAATTGTATGGCTTAAATAAACTTGCCTGATTTCATTCATGGTACAGCCTCCAAATTGGTTCAAGATCTATTTAACCATCTTCCTTGGAACTGCTATTGATTCCTTACTGCTGTTAAGTGTTTTTCAACATTGGTTTTTATGATATAAAAATCCACTGTCCACTTGAATGACTGAAATGTATGCTTCATTCACAATATATAAAAATATACAGTTTGTCACAAAATTTTCTATTTTTTTTCTCACAATAATTTTTTTTTCCCAATCATGATGATTTACTGGATTATTATAACATAATGTATTAAGTACCAGAAGTGTGTTTAAATATATCCAATATTTTGAAAATTTCCAAAAAGTTGGTTGTAACCCACAATTTCTTCCACCCTTTAAAACTATTATCTAGAACTCTCCTTACAGTAATGTTTATTTACAAAGCTCTATATAATAGCAATAGACTAGTTAGCAGACATCTGATATATAAATACTTATACACATATAATAGACATAATTAAAAAAATTGCCTACACTAAAGGAACTTCCAGTACGAGGAGTAAAACAGGGGTATTACCTCCCCTTGCCCTTAATTTCAGCCTGTTTGGACTCCACTTCCATCACAACTGAAAAACACAGTATCTGTAGTGAAAGGCTTTTGTATGATACATTTAGTCAGTAACATGTCGGTGATAGTATGAAATAAAAAATTAAAAATCAATTAACTTTGTCGACAGTCTTTCTATATGTTTCTTTAATTTTCAAGACTAGACAAAAAAATGCACAGCAAAATCGAATTGTTTAAAATAAATCATCGACCATTTCTTAAATTTGGAAGCATAGTTAAATACAGTACCTCTTCCTTTCAGTCGTACTATAAACATTGATTGATAAATATTGCACTTTGATATGAATTTGTGCTGAATACTCATGGTATAGTCCTGAATAAATTGTCTCTTCTACAAATATAGGGATAAAATGTTAATAAAATTGAAATTGCAATAATATGAAAAAGACTTTTAAAAATTGGTTTGGATTCAAAGTTGGAAATTATTAAGGCTCTGAGAAAAATATGCTTTCTTAAAAAGATCAAAGTACCAAACGTATTCAAAACTTACAAATTTCTTATTCTAAATTTCAACAAACTTAAGATGGTTCATATGGTAATTAAACACATTTCCTGATTGTTGTGGTCAACTTAGTTGCATGAAGAGCAAGTTATCTTCCTTACTACATAGTAATGATTAACAACAGTCTAAGCTACTTAAAAAAATAAACAAATAAATGGAGAATGTGTCCATGGGACAAAGATGATGCCCCAGCTTGCATATAACGTTATAAAGGGACATAACCAGAGAACTGTAAAGTGACGCCACTCAAAATCTAACTTGATGTGTTTTTTTGTGGTAATAAGCATGTGTATAAGTTTCATAACATTTGGTTGAGAGAGAATGGAAACCAATTTTGGGACAGACGGACAAGGGTAAACCTTAATGCCTCCTCAGTTACGGCGGGGGCATAAAAATTAATGTATTAAATTTTCCAGATTTAAAATAAACTGATTGCAAGTATGTTTGAAGCAAAAACAATACTTTGGATTCACTTTTGTTTTAGTGTACTCGAGTTTTACAGATTTTGTGGATATAGGTGAACTATGAATTTAACAAAATAAAAATTGCCTTTTTGTTTTTGTTTTTTTGTATGCAGAAATTGTCAAAATTATGATTTGATTTCGATTTTTGGTGTTTCAATGCCACTTTTAAGCACCACTTTTGGGCTATTTCGTGGCGGCCAGTTTTTATTGGTGGAGGAAGCCAGAGTGCCTGGAAAAAAACACCGACCATCGATAGGAGAGGGGGGCGAGAGGGGGTCTCATCCCGATTTCCCAGTTTTAATATCAGAAAATCCCGAAATCCCGGACATATTTTGTTAATAATCCCGATCCCGATAAATTTGTTCCCCAATTTTAAAGTTTAAAGTTTCAATGCTTACAATTTAAACGTCTCGGGTATGATTGATGTCATGTTCAAAGTCTTTCAGCGTAACCAATCCGAATATGTATTATCAATAATATGAGGCAGGCATTACCTGTGAAAAGGGACCAAGTCTATATAAATTTTTTTTTTTTAATTCTCAAACATATTTTAAGTTCTAAATCTGTTAAAAAAGAAACGGAAATACTGTAACGTTTCCGATTTTGGTTCTGTTGTTAGGGATTTTAGTTGTGACGTTATTTTAGTTATGACGTCATATTCAATGTAAACAAAGAAACGCTATCATCAATTAACGTTTTTTCATATCAAAGAATAATTAGAAATGAAATTGTTATTGTGTTCCTTCCTATATTTTACTGGACTGATAAATATATATTTCACTCAAAGTCTCATGACAAACGAGACCGGAAGAAGGAAGTAGATTTCTGCGCAAATGCGGGAATTAAAAAAAGTGACCAAAAAAAAGTTAACGATTTCGAGTTCATTTGTACAATGAAAATTTCGGGAAATTTTCCCGATTTTTTTTTAAAATTTTTTTTATTGATTTTTCTACTGTAATAGGGGACTTCGTCCCCTTATTACTGTAACGTCAAGCTGCATATATGCATTTTTGTTCTCATAAATCTTCAGTAGCCAGTCAGAAAATTGGCCAAAATTCCAGTTCAAGTCAATACAAGAACCTATATGACAAGCACTGGAATCGTTTTGTAATGGAGAGAAATTTGAATCTATTGAGTCACCAT